TATCATGGGATTGTAGGTGGATAACAGAGATATCGAAGAGCTTGTGGAAGAGCACAGCCAAGAGCTGACCATCGAAGAGCTTATGGAGTTGCATTGTTTTTGACAGCAAGACGTTTTGGAGGAAAGTTTGTTAGAGGAGGAGGAGGAGGAGAAGGTAACAGAAAAGCAACAATCTTCTGGCGAAATAAAAAAAATGCTGAAAGCATGGGAAACTTCACCCTAACAAGGAAGTGGCTATGCGCGCTGCAAATTTAATGATAATGCTGTTTCGCATTTTCGCAAAATTTTGAAGCGTCGACAAAAACAAATGTCTCTATACATCTTTCTAGTAAAAAAAATAATTAGCTATGTATCATAATTATTTCGACTTTTTTCTCCAATTTGAATTCGCATTCCACGTGGGCTCGTTCAGCGTTTGAATAAAAAGATGAAGATGATTCACTCTCCTTAAATATGTCTATAATTTTCTTTGAATAAATGTTATAGTATAACTTTTACATAGCATTTTGTGAGTATTGTTTTCGACATGGAACGCATTATCGTATTTTACATTAATTTATATAAGAAAAATTGTTTCGCATAACGACTGTTTCGCTTAACGAGTATGATTCTGGAACGAATTATGCTCGTTAAGCGAGGTTCCACTGTACATATGGGAGTTGAAGAACCAATAATTGTACGAGACGAAAATTAATTTTTATTTTAATCCATGCATTGTGGGTTGAGCAATCATGTATATTTACAACCTTCTGTCTCCTGTACTTTCAATCAGTTCTGTCATGATCTTCCATGCCATAATATCAAACTGTATAAGCATCTTTTCTCTGTTTTCCTCAGCCTCTTTTCCCCTCTAACTTTCCACCGTCACGATGTACTCCAGTCTTTATGACAAAAAAAAAAAAATATAGATTGTCTCACATCTTTTGATGTGTACAGTCAGTTTTCTTCTTGAGTAATGTTTTTTTTTAAAGACATCTTCATTTCTTTCTTTTCTTTATCTGTTTAGGGTATTCTCATCATTCATTTACAAAACTATATCTCCGCGGGTTTCAAACAACCTCTCACTAATCGACAAACTGTCCACGAATCACCTCTAGAAACTGATGAGCATAGAACGGGATGAGGTCAAGAAAGTTGAAAGGAAAACAGAAATATCCAGGCAACCACCAGATACCAACTGCTATAAGACGAAGAAGGTGGCAGTATGCTTAGATCATCCTAAGAGAAACAAGGAAGGCAGAGAATCAACAAGCTGGCCCTGAACTGGGAAAGATGAAGTACAAACGAAGCCTTAAATCAGACACTGATCAAGCAAATAAGGAATCTCCAAACAGGCACGGGAAACGATGACGTGAAAACGAAACCTTAAATCAGACACTGATCAAGCAAAAAGGGAATTTCCAAACAGACACGTAACTGGGAAACGAGGACGTGAAAACGAAACTTTAAATCAGACACTGATCAAGCAAATAGGGAATCTCCAAACAGGAACTAGACTGTGAAACGATGACGTGAAAACGAAACCTTAAATCAGACACTTGTCAAGCAAATAGGGAATCTCCAAACAGGCTCTTAACTGGGAAACGATGGCGTACAAACGAAACCATAAATCAAACAATGTTGTGGCCAATAGGGCTGGGCTAGATATAATCCATGATATTCCACGTGAAGGTTCTGAAGCCCTGTGATGGGGAAGACAAGAATAGATCCACTGCCGCCCCAACAAGCATGTCAAAAGAGTCGACTAACTGTGAGTTTCCTTCGAAGTCAGAGGGCATCTTTTTCCTTGAGAGCCAAGGAACCAACAGTGTGCTTAAAAATAAGTCAGATTTGTCAAATAGATGCGCACGCAACACTCAGGTTTTGAAATAAGTCCAAAGTCCAGATGTGGTTGAACAACCAGAACTTTTCGCTGGAGTTTACAGCCGGTGAACGCGAAGAAGAAGAAGAAAATCCATGATTTCGAAATGACTATAAAGGTTAGAATGGAATGGGCAGTGGAAAAAAAAGTGGGGGGGGGGGCGCGGGCTTAACTGTGAAGCTTTTGTGAAGTATATAACGACACCGCAGGAGGTACATATTGATGAGAATTTGAAGTTCGAAGTTTGAACAACGGATCAACATCATGGCATACGGGTAGTAACCCATAAGTGCTCCGTTCTACTTCTAAATTCTTGACCTAAAGTGTATAGACAGATAGCACAAGGGCTGCCAGTTTGATCCTTCAAAGAATTGATTAGACCAGTTTGGCCTTTTCAGAAAGTAGCTGACTTTAAAAAAAAAGTATTTGGCCCTTTGGCTTATTTTTGACTTTTTCTGTATGCAGCACACTTTTTTTTCTAAACATTTATGTCATGATTTAGAACAGTAAGTAAATTTCACCCCAACAGTTAACCCCGAAGAACACAAAGTGCCACCATACGAATGAGGATCACTCGTGGAGAGGTCCCAGAAACCGCGTTTAACCGTTAGGTTATATTAGGACCCCCGGCAAAAGCTGGAGTGGGGCTTCAAAATAACGAAAAATTGCGTCCCACATAGGGACGACCTTGGTTATTATTATTATCTAAAGCAAATTGCTTAAGTTAAGTATACATAATAAAAGAGGTTTTGTTGGTTTTTGACTTACACTATTAGCATAAATCTTCTTAGTATTAAAGATTATGTAAATCTCCATCACTTTCTTTGCTCTTATTCCCACCTCAAGCTTTGACTGACTGACTTTCTACCCCACCAGGACATCACACAAGCGATAAACACCGGATGACACAAGTGCCACCATGTGGATGAGGATCACCGTGGAGAGATCCCAGAAACCGCGTTCAGCCTTTAGGCCATATTTATGGCCAGGCTATATTGTGGCCCCTGGCAAGAGCCAGAGTAGGGCTTCTAATTATGAAACATTTCGTCCTAAAAATAGAAAGTACCTCGAGCTTTAGAGCTTTTCTTAGGATGTGAGAATGAAGCGTTAATGTGTTTACTCCTGTCTTACCTTTTCCAGCCAGTGTTTTGGCCGATTTGGTAAATGTTGAGTTGGCAACCGTTGATAGCACCCGATGGATGATTTAGTCCACATCGCGAGGCCACCTTTATTTCTCCTGTCATGTTCTTATAGTGTAGACTGACTTGTGAGTTTTAGATCAATTATTACAATCCATTTGGATTAAGATCTATGATGATATTTGTTCCAGGAGATAAGGGTGCTTGCTCACTGCGTAACCCTGGGTTTTGACAGTCGGTATAACAGAGCCAGTGATCTCCCCATTGTTGATAGTCACTTAGCGAAGAACTCTTTGCCAGTAACACCGACGCAAACACTGATGGGAAGGACCTCTGTCTGTTAACAAATTTTCGGGGGCCGAGGGGGGAGGGGCGCTCCGATAAATAGCATACTCCTTATTTAAATGTGTAAAAATAATAAAGTCGTCTCATTATGGAAACTTAATTATAATTCTCCGAATGGCTTCCGGGTCCCATTGTGGCGTAAACAATAATAGACCCACTGCCTAACCATCAATCAGTGCTCATAGCGCCAAGAGGCACATAAGGCAGAGACAAACTGTCGTCACTCAGTTTGATCCTGAGCCATCCTCTCTATCTCCAGTTTTGTGCTTCACATAGCCTTGACTTCAGCCTCAAAGGTTCGCCTCCGGGCCTGCCTCTTGCTTGCTTTTCTTGTGGTTTTCACTGCATTGCCTGTCTCGGCCCTCTCTCTTTTTTCATTTTGAGGACGTGTCAAATCCACCGCCTCCCCAACAAGCATGTCGTAAAATTAGACTAACTAGGAGCTTTCTTCAAGTCAGAATAGATTTGTCTGAGAAGCAAGGACCCAACAGTCCGCATACAAATAGGCCACATCTGTAAAAACGGATGTGCACACAACACTCATGTTCTGGAACAACGCTAAAGCCCAAAAGTGTACGAACAGTCAGAACTTTCTACCAGAGTTTACAGCCGGTGAAACACGAAGATAAAGAAGAATTACAGTAATGACAATATAAATATAACTTTTGAGCTGTTTTATATTATATAGAGCTGACAGTCCGCCGATTCCTTCATTCTAGAGGAATGCGCTTTATTTAAGTGCTTAATAATAATAATAAAAATAATTATATAATGTGTTGAATTGAGAGTGCAAAAAAATATATTTGAAATCATATGAAAGGTATACCAGTTGATCCTATCTCAGACACAAAGTAACACACTATGACAGGAGCGAAAGAGAAATTAAAAAAGAGAAAATATGAATGGCTAAATATATCTTTAAAAAGATGAGACCATTATTGACATCTGGAGAGATTGTCCAACACATTGAAAATGAGACTTGTCAAATGTACAGTCCTCTTTATGGTGCAGAAACTTGGACAAATAACAAGTCACTTGAAAATCGAATTGAGTAAGTAAGTAAAGTTCCCTTTTCACGCCTTTCGGCGCATCGGGCATATGGGCAGAGCGTCCCATATTTTTACAGACCATCAGCCTCTGTGGGTAATGTGGTCAGCATTACGCCGGCTGTCTTTACTTTCCCAGGACAGCCCATCCTGGTACCCATTTTAGGCTGGGTCGACCTGCGACGTCCCATACCACGACAAAAATCCACGCAGCCTGCAGGTGGTTTCGATCGCGGTATGCTGGCTCACGAGTCGGACTCGCAACGCCTTAGCCACGGACGCCGCATTGAGTAAGTAGACTCTAGAAATGTGGATATACATTAGAATAGTCGTATTTTATGGACACAAAAACTGTCAAATGCAGAAATTCTGAAAAGACTACGAATTAAAAAGAGAATTTACGAAATAAATGAAAAGATTTAAGAAGACAAAAACGGCATCTAAAATATTTTGACAACACTAAAAGATAGGGCACTGTTTTTGAAAACCATACTGCAGGGAAAGGTCTAGCGCAAGAGAGCAATAGGGAACAAACGATACAAATGGGAAGGTAACATTATTAGATGGACAGATAGCAGTCTGAGAGATAGTGCAACCAAACCAAGAGAAATGACATGTTGGAGCCAACCTTCACTGTGGAGACGGCACCTGATGGATGAAAGTATACATAAACACCTAAAAAGAAACACTCTATACTGGTTTAGGAGTTTCACATTGCTGTCTGACAGATTTTATAGGACGCTGCTCAGTCATACCCCGCCTCTTAAATTTGTTGGCAACAACTCACGTTTCCGGGCCCAGGCTCCGCCTACTTACACAATAGGTTACATTTGATTGGTATTTAGTCAGGCTCGTAAACTTTAGTCAAAATTACAGGGGTGTCTCGGTGTACTTTTTGCTCTAAAAGTTTTCTGTGTTGTCTTCTGTTTACGTTTTCATTTTGAGAAAAAGAATGCATTGGACACAGGCTGCAGCACTTTTGTAGGGAGGTTTTTGTTAGGGCCAGTTCTGCATGTTATGGGACTGTTAAAAGCGCTGACATCCTGGAATATACAACACACCATATCACCTGCCAGTGAAGAAAACGCTTTTTGAACAAAACTGTACACAGGGACACCCCTGCAACCTTCAGCGAAGTTTACAAGCCTAACGAAGTAAAAACGAAAAGTGACCTAGTGTGTAAGTGAGCGAATCTGAGCCCGGAGAAAAGGGGGGGGGGGAGGAGGCAGCTGCAACGAGCCTCATCCCAACTCCCCCAGGCCCCATTTTTTTCCCAAGGCTGGGGGTTTCCCTGTTCTTTCCTGAAATGGGTTAATAAAAGGACACTGATAGGCGAGCGGGAAATTAAAAACAGGGGCTAGAAGTGACGATGAATCTACATAAACGAGTTATCTCCCAGTGCAGCAATGACAGCTAGAGTCAGCTACTCGTTATCTGCTCGTTTGCTGCAGCTGCCGAGAATATACCAAATTCTTGCGTGGCTAACGAAGCTGATACTTCTGAAGAAGAAGAAACTAATGTTGTGAAGCTGCGAGGAGCACTTAGGACTCTAGCCGGCGCTTAACACTCACGGAAAAGGCCAGACGGATATTGGTGCCATCAGAGTTGGAACTCTTCGCTTGCTGCTGAAGATGAGGATGGGGTGCTTATGAGGATGCCCCGAGTGCTGTGATATCGATTCTTAATTCAACATTCAACATGAAAATGAAGCTGATAACGATTGCATGTGACTGATAAACTCTTGCAGCCTGTTGGTCATAATCGTGTTTCATGTCAATAAGCGAAAGCTGTTATGGTTCCATTAAGGCAGTAGTTTTCAGCTTTTTGATATCCATACCCTAAACAACCGCTTCCCCCCTCCCCTTACATATGACAATATCCCTTTTCCCACACCCACACTATAATGGAATGTAATTTTTTTTCTTTAAAGATGTGGGGAAAAGAACGATTCCACCAATAACAAGAACTTGGAAGGGAAAAAACAGCCACATAAATCAAAGTGTGAAATAACAAAACAAACAGTCAACAACTGGTAATTTAGGGCCTAAATATAAATGTGATGATTAGCTTTGTTTTGTATTCATAATACCTTTATTTCTTCCTCTCATGTTAGATCAGAGATAACGCAGATCACTATTCACGTCACACTGAAAACGCTGTTTTTTTTTTTTTGTGTGTTTTTTTAATGAGTGTTAAAGCTGAAAATCCGGTTGTTACGAAGGTTCCTGACGCCGTCCTTGAAATTTCTTACTCGCCGCCCCCTGTTTCTTCTTCTTCTTCTTCATCATCATCTTTTTCTTCTTGTTCTTCTTCTACTTCTTCGTCTTTTTCTTCTTGTTCTTCTTAATGTTCTTCTTCTTCTTGTTCTTCTTCTTCTTCTTCTTCTTCTTAATCTTCTTCTTCTTCTTAATCTTCTTCTTCTTCCTTTTCTGCTTTTTATTGTTGTTTGGTTCCGCATGCTCAGGTCAGACCATCAATTGGGTTGTCTCTATGAACTCGCATGTCAGCAGCAGGTCCTTCGTGGTTCCCCATAGTTTGCTCTGCACACTTTGCTCTTGAGGCCAGGTGTCTTTTCAAGGTTGTAGTTAGACTGGGCAGCTCCGCAGAATGTGCTCATATGTCTGGTGTCCTGTCTCACAGGCACACTGTGGTGACTGTGATCTTAATTGTATGCATGTGGTAGTTGAGCCTGCAGGGCTCTGTTCATACGAAAAATTGTGTGTTGTTTTTTTATGAGTATGCTGATGTGGTTTTGTGGATGTTTACTGTTTGTTTGTTCTCCACAATTCCTTGTATTTTCCCTTGATAAGTGTTTTGATTTCTGGTATTGACAATGAATGGGTGTGTTGTTTCCCCTTTGTTCCATTCCCCCCCCCCCCCCCCCCGCAAGTTTGTCCGCTAACTCATTTCCTGGTGTGCCGCAGTGAGCCGTGATCTACTGAAGAAAGATCTGATTGTTGTCTGAAAGTCTGTTTAGCTGGCTCATTAGGCATGGCAGAATGTTACGCTTTGAAATTATTTTTACTTCTAACAGTACTTTGCTAACGCAGTTTCCACATATGGACAGTAGTCTACGGTTTCGCTGCCCCAGCTACTGAGTTTAGCGCTTGGTGCAGCCCTGTAAGCTATGTTTTTTTTCCTGTGGAATTCCTTTCATTTGGGCAGCGGTTGACACATGGTGTTCAATATGGCCGGTAGCCAGTTTATACATGAGCTGGTGAAATACCTTATGTAATAATTATATCTGTGTATAGCGAACTTATCGTACCCAACTACTTTCATCAAAGACAAACTGCATTCCTGGTGGCAACTGTTGTCTTTGGTGCTCTAGCATTTACAGTGTACGCTTATTTCTGGATTGTTTCGGAAATAATTGTTATCTGAACAGTTTTTCTAATATGACAGCAAGAGTCAGTTCATTTGATTTTCACTGGCACAGGAACGGAGCAAGTATGGGGAAACCCGATTGCAGTTAGGTTGAAATCTCGACTAAGACCAGGACTAAGCAGTCTGACTGTGTGTCTTTTCGCCTTTTTCCTGAGTGCTGGGTGTCACCCTGATCACATGGTCACTCCTTGTTGCACTATTTTCTTCAGACCGTAATCGACTATTCTTGCCTCCGCACTGTTTACTGTTCACCTTACAACCTTTAGGTCAGTGGCTCCTAACCTTTCTAATGTCATGACTCTTTAATACAGGTTCTTCGTGTTGTGGCAAACCCCAAACAGTTATTTCCCTTCATAACCTCTATGGATACGTGTTTTCCGATGATTTAAGGCGACCCATGTGAAAAAAAAGGGGTCAGGACCCGCAGGTTGAGAACCGCTGCTTTGGGTTGTCATTAATCAGTCCATCACTTAGTGGTACAGAACCAACAAGTTTGTTTGACTGTTCGTTTCCCAATACACATGCATTACCTGGAGATAATAACCAAAAGAAGCTAATGACCGGGAATCTCCGAAGAGATCGTAAGCGAGTTCTTGTTAAAGATGTTTTAACAGTAGCTGCAAAACGTAGCTAATCGTGACGAGCTGTATACCAGAGAGCTTGGTCTGGGTTGATTGATAATTGACATATAGAACACAAAAGCAAGGGAACTTTTTTAGTGTGTTGAATTTCCGTGTTGATCTATTTGATTAAATGGCATTTGTTTTAATTCATTTTTCTCCTTGGGAGCCGCCGTGGTGGAGCGGCTAGACACTCACCTTCGGAAACAAAGATCGTGTTTCCGGGTCTTGATTAATTGGGGGGGGGGGGGGGGGGGTGAGGGGGGGGGAATTTTTGAAAGATGACTTTGGCTCTCATGTGGACCCAAGCCTAAATGGGTACCAGGTAAAGTCCACGGAAGTGAAGGTGGTCCGCGTGATGCTAACCACGTCAGCCACCGAATGGCGATTGGTCTATGAAATGTGGACCTAGCCCTGTTTACCCGAATAAATATTATCGCAGTAATCACCATAAATTGTGCATTTTCTTACTTGCTCAGTCCTCAGATACAGCATCCACCCCAAGGTACGTCTACCGACTGGTACCATGAAACATTGGTTACAATATCTCCAATCTTGACCTAAAACAGGGCACTGGTTAGATTCACCCGGCTTCACACTGAGGTCATGCAATAGTGTTAGCGTCTGCGATTCCATAGTGTCCGTCAGCCTAATCCATAGCCTGTCATTTCTAATAAGTAAAGTATGTAACCTTTTTTTAGTAAGACAAAGAAAGGAATATCAAGTGTGACTTCACACCACAAAGAACAGGAAACCGAGTAAGATAGCCAAGGAACCTTCCTTCATATAGCAGGCCTCCGAGCGGCTGAAAAAGGATCAAGTTTGGAATTTTCGTTGAACAACTGGAATTGGAATCTTTCCAGTGGTCACCATATGTTCCATTTTCACTCTTTCTATATGATGACTGTCTTCTTCTGATGTCTGCGATTAGTTGTCTTCGGGCTCCCGCCTCTTTCAAAACCTAGTGGTTGCTTTTTTAAGCTGTCCAATGTATTTTAAGCATTCTCCTGTAAAACCACATTTCTGAGGCCTCAAAAGATTGTTTGGCCTGGCTACCGATTGTCCAGGACTCATAGCCACATGTTAAAACTGGATGTATGAAGCAAGCAAGACAACGATATATTGCACAAAATGTTCTTTTTTTTAATATAAAATGCATTTTTAGCCTGTCCTATTTTGTTTTTATTTTAGTAATGCATCTTTCATCTGATTTTATCCATGTGCCAATTTCGCATTGAAATCATTTTTCGTTCAGGCGTTCGTTCAACGTAATTTAAATGCACCTTCATATTCTCGTTTGCAATATCTTCAATTTGATTTGGGAAAAGACACCCCAAAAGAACAAAAAAATGCATGCTTTCTCTTTGTCTCTCTCTCTCTCACTCACACACACACACACACACACACACACACGCGCGCGCGCGCACACAGATACACTTTCAAGTTTCTTCATGCCTTCTTTAACACAACAGTAGCGATGCCTAAATCTTTCGTAGCGGGAAAAACGGCGACCCGTTTGCGTGGTAACAGCGCCTGACTCCGAGGCATTACAGCGGAGGTTCTAAAACTGGGTGCGTATGACAGGGGTGCCGCGGCGAAAATCAAGAAAAGTCAGCTATAAATTGTGACATTATTAATGAGAGAGTTATTTTAGTCCATCGCAGTGTATGCAGAAATCACTATTCGTATTCGGCCCGACCGCCACTATTCGGCCGAATACCGAATAGCTAGTAGGTCCACTATTCGGCCCGAAGCGAATACGAA